CCAGGGGATTTCAACTCAATCTTACCAAGGAGGCAGGTACCAATGCCAGCGCACTTGGTAAAGTGATAAGTATAAATACACAGCCGATCAAAAAGATAGGGTATGTGTCGATGAGATTTCACAAATAAGACCAGTGTAAGCAAATAATGAAGGCTGGAATTAAAAGGGAGAGAATGATCCTGCAGGGGAAACAGGACACACAGCAGACTCATAGAATGGCAGCACTCCTGCCTCAGAATCAACCCTTGGGACATTCGGATCTGGCTAAAAGGTCCATGACAGTCTCACAGGCATGGAAAGCCGTGACACGGTGGCAAAAACCAATCTAAATGAAAGCTCCTGGTGAGCAAGACCCCAGCAGAAGGAACAGGCCATGAAGGAGAGAGGCGCCTTTCTCTGAAGGGAGGAAGGAACCTCCACTGTGATACAGCCTTGACTAAAGAAGTTCAGAGTCGGTGAACTCAAGAGGCTTCCATAGCCTAGGCAGCTCATAGCAAGTCTCGGGTGATTGCTGACATCATAAATAGGAGTGCCAATTGTTAAATCAACAACGGGAGTCACTGGGTACATGCTCCCATATAGGATCTCTACCTTAATGTGTTCTATGAAACTTAAAGACAACACTACTAGTCGAACAATACCCTATACCTTGTGCGGTTGTGTGAGTACAGCCTGTTGAAATCCTTGCTTAGTATATACTAAGTTGATCTTGAGTATATGAAGGTAATTGAAAATGATACTCAATGAAGGGCAGGATGGGAGAGGGAGTGGGAAAGGGGAGGGCCACGGGAGGGAGGGAGGTTCGGGGGGGGAAGCCACAACAATACAAAAGTTGCACTTTGTAAATTCACATTTATTAAATAAAAAAAAACTATATAACAAACAAAAAAAGAACTTAATACTTTACCCTTTTAGTATTTTTTATGTTCTACTTAAAACTATTGGTTGAACTCTGTAATTAATACACAATTACTCTTAGGTGTTTAATAATTGCTATAACTAGTACTCAAATAGTATTTTACACTTTGTGTTTCTGTGTGGGTGCAAACTGTTGAAATCTTTACTTAATATATGCTAAATTGATCTTCTGTATATAAAGATAATTGAAAATTAATTTTGATGTGAAAGGAAGGGGAGAGGGAGTGGGAGAGGGGAGTGTTGTGGGTGGAAGTTGGGGGAGGGGGCTATTGTAATCCATAAGCTGTACTTTGGAAATTTATGTTCATTAAATAAAATAAAATAAAGTTTATATCTTCCTGGTGAGTTGACCATTTTGTTGTTAAGAGTGACAATGTTTATGACCAGCAACACTCTTTGTCTCGAAGTGTCACTGCTGCTTCTCGCAGATCAGCAAATCCATTAGGGAAAAAGTGACTGAGTACTGGGTCCTTTCTTCTTCCCTTCTTCCAATTAGACCAAGAAATGCCATTTTGGTAAGCTGCTCAGTGCATTTTTTTGTTTGTTTACTTTTTGACAGGCAGTGACCCAGAACCCACGTGGGAGACCTGGAAGAAGCTCCTGGCTCCAGATCGGCCCAGCTCCGGCTGCTGCAGTCATTTGGGGAGTAAACCAGTGGATAGAAGAGCTCTCTCTGTGCCTGTGCCTGTGCCTCTCCCAAATAAATAAATAAATCTTAAAAACAAACTAAAAGTATTACAGTTTTAGCTTTTCGAGTTACGGATCCATTCGGACTTAATTTTTCAATTTTACACAAAGTTGAGGGGGTCAGTAATTTTTTTTAAACATGCTATTCCTTTCAGAACCACCAATTTAAAATATTCATTTCTATATTAAATTGCTTGGTGCCACCGCCAACAACCAACTGAGCATACATGTATAAGTCTACCTCTCTTCCCTTGTATTAATGCAGGTGTCACTGCCACATGGATCTGACGACTTTCACATGGTATTTCTAGTCCGACAGTCTAAGTCCTCCCAAATGTCCCCAACAGCCAGAGCAGAGCTGGTCCATTCTGTTGCTCTCCCAGGCCATCAGCAGGAAGCCAGGGAGCAGCCAGAAGCCTGGACCAGTGCTCTGACACAGGAGGCTGGTACTGCAGGTGGCAGCTGATTGGCTCATGCTGCCACAATGCAGCCCCTATTTGTGTTAGGACCTTTGTTATCTATCTAGCACTTGATGTCAGGAGGACAGTGGTCAGAGACCCACCACGGGAACATGCTCTTCACATGTCTGATTAAGGTTGGCTCTCCTCCATTTCTACTTCCCTGAGAAGTTTTTGTTTTGCTGTGAATCATGAACAGGTGTAGCATTTTGGCAAGTGCTTCAGCCATCTCTAAGTAGACAACCAAGTGGTTTTAGTCCTTTGTGCAGTTGATCACTGATTTCTGTAGTTAAAATGCTTCTGATAATTGGCACTTTACTGTGATGGGCTTTACTTTTTAATCTATCTATTTCACTAATATTCTGGTAGAAGATTTTGCATCTATACTTAACAAAATGTTAAGGAAATGAGTAGGCTCCATGCATTGATTTGAGAAGTATTCTCCTTCCTGCTCGGTAAGTGAGGATTTTTCCTTAATGTCTCACACAACACACCAGTAAAGCCTTCAGGAACAAGGTTTTCATCTGCAGGAATATTTTAAAATACAAATTCAACGGCTGAGTCTGATACCTGGCTCTGGCCCTGGCCTCCAGCTTCCTCCCGATGCATACCCTGGATGGCAGCAGTGTCGGCTATGGTAATTGGGTCCCTACCGCATCCACGGGAGACCTAGATTGATTCCTGGCTCCTGGCCCCCACTAGCCCAAGCCTCCCCACCGCAGGCACTTGGGAGTGAATCAGATGATGGGAGCCCTCTCCCTCTTTATGTTGTTCAAATAAATATTTTCACATGCTGGTGACCCTATTAATTCTTGAGCACATACTTAAGCCCAGACTCGGACTGTGACTTAGTCTAAAGTTCTACGATCAGGTGTATGAGTAGACGTAACTGTCACTTCTTCCCGACACCCTCCCGCCTTGATCTTTTATATCCAGTAGTGCTCCCTTGTCTTGGAAGCTGCTTTGCCCAGCTTTGTTACTGGAGCTTGCGTGACGCTATCCTTATTCATCCTTTCACACTATTTGTGTATCTGCACTCAGGGGTCTTCGTTCACTCGACAACCTGTGCCTTTTACCTCACATGTCATGCGTTTACATATAACTGTGGTATCATTAGATTTAGTGGACATCCTTGGCTTGTTCCTTAGAAGGCAGGCACTTTTCTATTTGTCTTTGCAATTGTTTTCTCTATGCTGAATCTTTGTTACTGTTAATTCTTTTTTCTGCCTTCCTTAAGTTAATCAAGTATCTTTCAGTGTTCCATTTTTACTCCATTTTCCATTTAAGAGATCCAGCTTTCTCTCTGCATTATGATACACAACTCTAACATATCACAACCTACACAGTATTACATTGCATCAATACTAATGACTCACGTGACAGTACAGTTCCACATACTCACCAGCTCTGTGATAGAATTCTGGATAGCAGACAGGCCACTCTAAGTCCTGTGCACATGCTGTCTTCTCTGTTTCTTCCCAGAGCTAGCACATGCTGTCAGGTTATCAAACTGTACCCACATAAAGGCCATACTGGGAAGAAGAGGTTTGTGCAAAACACCCAAAATCCAAATTCTTTGTTCAAAAACAATCTACATGAAGGTATTCACCTTTGTGTCCAAGACCAGGAGACCTTAACTGATAGTGCATTGTGCAAACCTCTTTCAACCCTTTCTTCTAACATAAAGAAAAACCTGGGACCCATGCTGTGGCAAAACATGAAAAGCCACCACCTGAAGCACCGGCATCCCATATGGCCGCTGGTTCAGGTCCCGGCTGCTCCACTTCCAATCCAGCTCTTTGCTGTGGCCTGGGAAAGCAGTGAAAGATGGCCCAAGTCCTTGGGCCCCTGCACCCTCGTGGGACACCTGGAGGAAGCTCCTGGCTTCGAATCAGCGCAGCTCCAGCCATTGTGGCCAATTGGTGACTGAACCAGTGGATGAAGACTGACCTCTCTCTGCTTCTCCTCTTTCAAATAAATAAATCAATCTTTTTAAAAAAAGGAAAGAAAAAACCTGTACATGTTTCAAACATTTGAATGATCACTTAGTTTGTTCAGTTTCCCCCTGTGTTATTGGTCATTAGCAAGGTATTAACAAGCCCAACTGTGGAACACCTGGTTTAAGAGATCGGCTGTGAAAGCACCCAAGGTCCCACCGACCTGGGCGATGAGGGGCGCTTGCGTCACACACAGGTTGTCTGTAGCAGTCACAGTATTCTACACCACTGTGCACATTCCCAGCCTTCCCAGCAGAGCCAACAGAGTCCAACGGCAACAGCTACCATTCACCAAGACCTTGGTATGCTCGGGTCGAGGTGCTCAGGTTTCATGTGCACTTAATTTTCACAGCCAGGAAGTAGGCACTGGTCCCATCTTTCTGCTGGAGAAATATGTTAAGTTTCAGGAATTTGCCCAAAGTCAATCAGCAAGGATCAGAGCTAGGCTTCAACATTTGTGTGTTTTAGGTTGAAGCCTACATCTTTCAACCACTGTTTTAGATGGGGTCTTTGTGTAAGTGGGGAGAAGACATGGAATTCCCAGGAGAGATCCTTCAACCTAGCTTTGTGGCTAAAAGCAGTAAGGAGAGGTGGAGGTCTCAAGACCCATAATGAAAAGAAAACTGAAAAAGTAACAAACAGCTGTAAAACCTGTAAAGCAAAGAAGCCTTGGGGCAAGAGAAGAAACCTCTACAGCCAGGCAAGTAGGCTGTGACCTAACTCCACCACCAGGAAACTGCTTGGGAGTCTGCATCAGTCAGGTGAATGTCCAGGGCAGGGAATAAACACTTCACCAAAGCAGGTTGGTTACCTGTGCATGCCAGTGTTTACGGTGCAACTCACTGGAGTGGCCCGCTGTTTGCGTAAGGGTTGGCTCTATAAGGCTGGTGTGGCTTCTTCCTCCAAAACAGGTGAAGAGATTTATGTTAAAGACAACATGTGTATTGAAAGTAGCAATTTTATTCGAGTTAAAATTATTTACAAAAACCCAAAGACATACTTCATGAAACTGGTACAAACTATTTTTTCCTGCCGTTGGCTTTTGCTCCAAAGATCACAGCTGAGAAATACTGTATAAAATAAAAATAGGATTGGATTCAGAAAAGTACTCTACTGTTCTAATTTCCAATTGGCAGTATTTACAGAGATATTTACAGTGGAAAAAAAGGTTACTTTAAAACTTTAGTTAATCTGCAAGTCAGCCTCAAGTACCCTAAAATGCAGAGTCCTCTGAGGGTTAAAAACACACAAATGCACTGCAGCTGGTGAGGAGACAACTCCCCCCGCCCGCCCCCCAAACCTGCATCTCTATCAGTGCTTGACAATTAGTTATTATTTAAAAAACACAACAGAAACTGTTAAACACTGAGGTAAATCAATTCTCAAATGCTTACCAGTGTAACAGAGAAATGCAGTTCGCCCTGACTGTTCTCACCCAAATGTCCTAATACTCCTTACCGTCTGCCACAAGTCAGCTGGACCAAAAATCAGCTCCTTTTCCTAGATCCATCAATTAATAAATATGAACATATTTTAAAATACTTAAACAAAATCTACCTAGCTAATTGAACTCTACGGAGATCAGTCTGGATCTGCTTTTTAAACAGCTTGCTCAGCTCGCTCTCACACTCAGGGCAACAGTCTCCATCTTTCCAGGTTACACTGGTACACTGCGTTCTCAGAGAGTGATGGGGAGGGGGAGGGGAGGAGCTGGGGTTGGGGTTGGGGTTGGGGTTGGGATTGGGGTCGGGAGAAGAAAACAATTTTGCCTGCAATCAGTTACTTCCTCATAGATTTCCCAACAATCTGCATTATCAAAAATAGGAAGACAATAGAAGGCAGCCACTGCATTAAAAAACATTACAGCTGGCACTGATACAAGAGCCCCGATTTGTCACTTTATACAAGGAAATAACAAAGTCTAAACAGGTAACCTTATTAGACTTCTAGCTATTTTCCTCAATACACACCAAACTCAATAGTTTTATGGCTTCAAGTTTTACAAATCCAATGAAGAAACGTGATGTAATTATCTGAAAGGTATTTAAAACTATTAATGAGACAGACCTCTGGAAAGCCTGTATTCAGGCCCAAATCAATTAAAAAGAAAAAAAGTTATTGTCAGTGGTCTAAACAATAATTAGTAAGAAAAACTTGCTAGATTATGAAATTAAATCTATAAAAGGTGGTTTCTGTGTTCCATACCGGTTTTCCAAACAATTGTTCTATGAAAAAGAAATCTAAATTTAAAAACAAAGCAAAATAAAAGGGTCTTCTCTAAACCAGCAATTTAAGGCTTTGCGCTTACACAATTGATCCTGTCACTCTGTAACAAGAACATACAGGTTATCTGGAAACATGAATTCCACATTGGTGTTTTAGCTTCCTTGTATTTATTGAACTGAACATTACAAAAGATATCTAGAGACCCTCCCTCAAAACGTAATAATGTTTCAAGAGCCTCCCTAGCGTAAGTGTAAACTACCCTGGGTTTGTCTATTTTGCTTAATCCTTTAACAGGGCACATCATTTTATATAATATTCCCTCAAACTGTTACTTGTTTTCTTGTTATCTATAACTATGACACATTATGGCATGATATTGAATATGGTCATGGTCTCAAAAGTGAAAAATAGTTCAACAACCCAAACCTAATCAATAATAAAAAAATATACTATTAATCCCTTGTGTCTTTGGATTCCATCTAATTTTAAATACAGACAGTAGTTCAGGGAACAACAACAAAAAAATTCACAAAATTATTAAAAGCTTTATTTACGATTGGAATCATTCAACAAAAAGCAAAAGCAAATGAGCCTGAAAAAGGAACTGAGCTGTTGTCTAGAATGTCCTCAGAACCTTCGACACCTCAGTCGCTAAGCTGCCTTTGCACCTGGCTGGCATGACGACAGTGGCTCAAAGTACACAGCAGTCGCACTAACAGCAGCACAAAATTTCCCCTGAACACTTGCCCCGAAGACAGCAAGAAAATAAGGGGAGGGCATAAACTCTGCCAAAGTTAAGGGTATTTAAATACTGCGTGGAATTGTTAACAGCCTGAACCTTTTCCCTCATTTTTGATAGCTGCAGATTGATGTAGTAACTGTCATTTAGCAGATGCAGAATGCATGACGAAGAAATCAGGTGGTCTTAAGAATCCAAACACGAACGGTACTGATGGCTGTTCTCGGTCTATCTTCAAGGACTTCTCTGTCTAAGGACAGCTCCAGCGTCACCGAGCACCTGAAGCAATGGTAAAGCAGCTAGCAATGTTCCAAATACTCGATCACTCTGGAGATAGACTTCTGGCCTGTTGTTCCAACAGCACACTGAAAGGGGAGGGAAGGAAGTCACAGTTAACATTTAATAACCATTTAAAAGCATTAAATCAGAGACGGATTAGCCTCAGCTTTACTAAACTGAGCATTACAAACCAGAGCACAGAGAGACAAGGCGCTGGCTTTGATAATGCAGGGCACTGTGTAACACAGAACACACAGTACTCATCCTGAAGAAACCAGTTACTCAGAGGACCTTCTGTTTCTGTTCATTGTGGCCACGGTATTCTATTCCTCTGTCTACCATCATACTTCAATTAGAAACCCTCCGGGAGAGCCACTTACCGTAAGGTTCATGAAGCTCAGGAATTTCTTGAGCATCTCTGTCATTATGGAGAAGTCTCCTTCTGGCAGATACTCCCGCACAGTGGTCACATTGATCTGAGGAGAGATCCAGAACACCGCTCAGCTGCCGGAAAACAGGAGACTGCACCTGTACAGCCGTGTGGGCTTAGCACACACCCTGCTGCACACTTTGACAAGCTTTGTGCAATGCCCTGGTAATCCTCTCCACAGGTACTTCACTGTACGTGGACCTGTCTGCGTCCATTTCCTATCTACCTCACTCTCAGGGAAAAATGTAAAGCTGGTAAAGGCGCCCAAGACAGATCAAGACAGATTTCTGTGTATACTTACTTTTTTTTTTTTTTTTTTTTTAAAGAAAGCCTGAAATACTGAGCAGCACTGCTCGGTTGGCAGTAGGAGCTGACTGAAGAATGAACTCAGAGCTGCTAATGAACTCATGATCCACAGGGGAATTCAACTGATTACGTAAAACAGGAACGAATGCAAAGATCTTTGTAAAGGTAATCTAACATCATCTGTGGCAAAGAAATTATTGGCCAAAGCCAAGATTAGAGATTAAGGCTTTTTCCTTCATTACCAGCAAGAAGCAGGCAAACCATAAACACACCAAACTTTTATAAAGAAAACATTACAAGATCTGCTTAAACCATTGTTTGTTTGTTTGTTTTTTCCCCTATTGCATTAAAAAATGCCTTACAGGAGCTGGCATTGTGGAAGAGCAGGTTAAGCTGCTGTCGCAACACCGGCATCCCACATGAGCACTGGTTCAAGTCCCAGCAGCTCCACTTCCGATGTAGCTCCCTACTAATGTGCCTGGGAAGTGGAAGTGCAGGCAGTGGAAGATGGCCCAAGTGCTTGGGCCCACGTGGGAGACTGGGAAGCAGCTGCTGGCCCGACTTTGGCCAGGCCCAGCTCTGGCTGTTGTGGTCATTCCAGTGCGAGGAAGATCTCTTCCTCCCTCCCTCCCTATAACTTTGCCTTTCAAATAAATAAAATAAGTCTTAAAAAAAAGCCTTAGGATCTCAGCAAGAGTAAAAGAAAACGCTCTAGGAACATTCACCTATGATAAAGAACACATAACAACATATGCTGTGCTAAGTTTTAAAACACAGGTAAGAGGTCAAACAAAAAACAAGCTTCTAATCTTTCATCAACAGGGTGTTTTTTGTTTTTTGTGTTTTTTTTTTTTTTTTTGACAGGCAGAGTTAGTGAGTGAGAGAGAAAGAGACAGACAGAGAAGGTCTTCCTTTTTCCGCTCGTTCACCCTCCAATGGCTGCTGCAGCTGGCGCGCTATGCTGATCCAAAGCCAGGAGCCAGGTGCTTCTCCTGGTCTCCCATGCGGGTGCAGGGCCCAAGTATCTGGACCATCCTCCACCGCACTCGCGGGCCACAGCAGAGAGCTGGACTGGAAGAAGAGCAACCGGGACAGAATCCGGTGCCCCGCCCGGGACTAGAACCCGGTGTAAACCTATTGAGCCACAGCGCCGGCCGTAAAAGACCATTTTTAAAGGAACTCTGCCACCAGCCCTCCCCGTTCCATTTTAAAAAATTCCCCCACAGGGTACTTATCAATTAGAAAGGACCAAAATACAGTTATGTACCACACAGTGACATTTCAGGCAATAACAGACCATATATACAACTGTGGTCCCATAAGATCGTAATGGAGCTGAAATGTCACTCTTCCCCAGTCACGGCATAGCTGCTACCATGCTATAGTGCAGCATGCATGTTTATGATGCTGGTGTAAGTGTACTTACTCAACTGCCAGCAGTACGCAGGTGTATATGTAGGTATAGCCCATATAATTATGTCCAGGGTGTAACACCCCCATCACACACGGCTTATATATATACTATACTATCTTTATAACTGCTGTTTAGTGGACTCCTAATAATAATTCAAAAAGTACCATGAACTATGCTGCATGCCAGGGCAGCACCCTCACGCCTCCCCAGGGTGCCACACCTCCTGATTGTGACTGACTGGCAGCATCCAAGTCAACTTGAGCGCATCCCAGGAAGGGGGAGGGGAGCAGGAGGGCAAGGGGGAGGGAGAGAGAGGGAGATGGAGTCAGCGAGCGCTCTGAATAGAACTGTGCTGTGCCTGCAGAGTGCAAGACTCCAGGGACGGGGCAAGGCAGGAGAGCAGAACAGCAAGGAGATGACCAACAGAGGCCCCAGAGTCAGGGTGGGCACAGAGGAGGAGCGTGGGCTCCTGCAGGCCGCCTCAGCACAGGCAGTGCTCACTGCTTTGCCGCCTCCCACTGGCACATGGGGCAAGCCTACTTCCTTCACGTTGTGGTGTGCCAGCTAGCTTTCTGAATTAACCGTGATGATCTCCAAGGCAACAGACGTAGCTGGGGCTCTATCAATTCACAACACTGCTCACAACTTAACCTCATCATCTCTTTAGGCTCGAGAGAGACAAACATGAACAGGAATTAACACAGAAAAGAGGGCTCAAGATAGAGCACACGTGGTACCAACATGATGTCGATATCCATTACTTCACAAAGAACATGACCAAATATGACTAACCTAGCATGTGTACAAAGCACCTAGAAATTACATTTCAACATTATGCCCACCACCTTCATTTGCTGCCTGCTCTTCCTTCCTTCCCTTCATATCTGATAGGTGTTTCTCATTTGTTCTTACAGTCACTGACCTGAAGCGGTCGTAGGGAAGGAGGAGAACTTTGTCTTCACCCTCAGGGCACTGGGGCCGAGAGAGTCACGTGGAATAGGCTGGTATACAATATATTTAAGTTGACTACAATAGAAATTCGGAAGGGATGGATGAGACTGATTTAGAAAAATACAAATGACTTCGACCACTGGAAAGGGAGGGAGCAACCCAGAGAACGTGAAGGTGAAAATGAGGAACTATGGGTGGCAGATGGAGCCTGGCAGGTGCAAAGGGCTGGCATGAGCACGTCCTCACATGAAGCCATTCACTGGCCTTCACACTTTCTTGTAATCCTACACGAGATGGATGCCTCTTGCTTCCCACTGAAGCCAGCCACCTAACTACAGAGTGGATCTCTGCGCACTCTTGCTCCCTGAGCGCTCTGCTCCGAGAGGACACTTCCTCTTAGAAACATCTGCCTTGCACTGCAATTTAAAGGTAACAAGCTGTTGTGCTGCTCCTGTTTTTCCCACAGCAGCAGGCTGCCCAGCAGCTACAAACTTTTATTTCTTTGCTGACTCAGCCAGACTACCCAGACCTCCTGTTTCTCCTGAGGCCCTGATGATCTAAACCCCTGACAGCTCCTCTTCCTAGACAGTGAGTGGTTCAGGCAAAAGTATGTGACCCAGTACCAGTCAACATGAGGGGGAATCTACTTGGGACAGACTGGGGATGAGTGCCAGTGGGAAAAACCAAAACCATTGTTTTAAAAAGAAATACTGGGGCAGAGGGACCTACTTTGCCAGACATTCTTTACCTAATGAGACTCATGGCTACTGTCAGCACAGAACCACAAAAAGATTTGGCAAAGGACAAGAAAAGGGACAAAGGATTCAAGTCTACAGACAGGCAAGAGCTGAGTTCCCGAAGACCTCACGGAGGCACTCAACTACCCCAGATTAATCATATTGTTGAAAGCAGCTAAGTGCAACTTTTGTACTATCACTTCTTTTACTAAAACCAGAGATGTCTGAATGGATCGATTCACCAAACAAAACTAATTGTTAGAACTAATACACACTTACTTTGGGATAAAGACTTAAACAGTCCAATAAATATTTCAAATATTTTTCTTACATGACACCTTAAATTCATTTTAGTCTTTCTTCTTCATGAGACTGAAAGCACTCTGCTTTGCTTGTTTCCCACAACTCCTCAGTCTAAAAGGCACATCAATTACAATAAAGCCATAAAGAATATAATTCACTTTTAAAAACTGAAGATCAATTCATTTCACTCCAAACCTTGCTACATAAAAACTTATATAAGAATGGAAACACACCTACTGTATTAAAGAAAGAAAATTATTCAAGTAGCTTAAAATGTTGGAAATGTTAGACTTTTTTTTTTTTTTTTTTTTGTCATTTTTATTCCATGGGGAAGAAACAATCCTGAAAACGAGCCCAAAATGAGCACTGGGATGATGCTGTCATAGTGCTGCGAAGACACCTAAGACATCATTTACTTACTGGACTTTCCTGGCAGAGACACCCGAGAAGCAGGGCCGTGTAGGAGGCCACGATGCAATCCTCCATGTGTTTGCCAGCATGCTGAAGGGCTGAGAGCATTTAAATAAAGAATTTTAATAGGATAAGAAAAGAATACAAACCTTACAAAACCAACTATTCTATTATCTTTTCTTCAAAACTGCTATAACATAAACAATTGTGCTAGGACAATAGGATAGCCACAAATTAACCAAAATTATCTCAAAATGGATTAAGAGACTCAAAAGTAAATGCCGAGACCACAAACTTTTTAGTTAAAGCTTTTATGCTGCAAGGGACACCATTAACAAAATGAACAAATGGATCAAGTATCAGGAAGATTATCAAGGTTTTTGTGTTCTTTTTAAGATTTATTTATTTGAAAGTCAGAGTTGGGGGTGGGGAAGGGAGACAAAGAGAGAGAGAGAGAGAGAGATCTTCCATCTACTGGTTCACTCCCCAGGTGGCTGCAATGGCCAGGCAGAAGCCAGGAGCCAGAAATGTCACCCAGGTCTCCCATGTGGTGGTGGGAGGGGCCCAAACAATTGGGCCATCTTCTACCACTTTTCCTGGGCCACTAGCAGGCAGCTGGATCTGAAATACAGCAGCTGAGACAGGAACCCATATGGAATGCTGGCTTTACAGGCAACAGCTTTTCCTGCTGTGCCTCAATGCTGGCCCCAATATAAAGAATTCTTACAACTCAACAACAAAAAGAATCAACTCAATTAAAAACTGGGCAAAGGACTTGAACAGGTATTTCTTCCCAAGAAAATATGTAGGACAACAAGACATGAAGAGATGCTCCCCACTGATCAGGGAACTGCAAATCAAATCACAACGATGTACTTCTTCACACCCACCAACATGACTAAAAGCACATTTTTCAAACAAATAATTTATGGAGACATGGAGAAACTAGAACACTTATACAGTGCTAATGGGAATGTAAAATGGTACATCCACACTGGAAAAGAGTTTGGCATTTCCTTAAAATGTTAAACACAGTGTTAACATTTACCCAGCAATTCCTCACCTATAATCCAGGAGAAATAAAAACATATTTCTAGAATTATTCAATATAGCATTATTCAAAATAGCCAAAAAGTATAAACACAAATGTCTATAAATTGGACAGTTAAACAAAACATGGCCTAACAATAAAATGGATATTGGGTCATGTAAACAAGGAACACAGAACACTACACAGATGGACCTTACTACAAACAAGCTGCTGATTGGAAGAAGCCAGACACAACCAACCACATACTATACAATTCCTTTTAAATGAAATACCCAAAGACAGAAAGTGAATTAGTGATGGCCAGTTGCTACAGGAGGGGAAAATGGATGTCTGCTGATGGGAATATATCTGGAATCAGGTAATGGTGATGACTGCACAACCTTGTGAATATGCTAAAACTACTGAATTGGATATTCAGTTAAAAAAATGAATTTCACAATTTCAATTGTCTTTCAAACTCTTTCAAATAAATAAATCTTTTCTTAAAGCCATTATTTTATTTATTCTTTGAAAGACAAAGCAACAGAGAAGACAGAGAAATCTTTCATTCCCTGTTCCACTCTCAGATGTCCTCAATAGCCAGGGCAGGTTGAAGTGAGAAGCTGGGAATTCCACCTGGGTCTCCTACACGCAGATAGGGGCACTTGAGCCATCATCAACTGCCACCTCGCAGGATGCATCAGCAGGAAGCTGGGACTCAATCTCGGGCACTCCAAGGTGGAATGTGGGTGTCCCAGGCAGCCTCTTAACATGCTGTGCCACAAGACCAGCCCCAAAACCCATTTTTTTTCTTAAATGACTGCTAAACAACCAAAAATGTTCTGCTAAAGGAAACATCAGAATTTAGCAAATCTAAGAAGTTAGTACTCACTTTTCACAATTAATTGTAACGAGTTATTAACTGTAACAATTTCTTACAATACTAGAAACTAATACTGTAAATTTAATTAGAAATTAAATATAGGGAGGATCAGGCAGCACAGAAACCAATTAGACTCAGAATCAGACACTGCTGAGCTTGCTTCCTAGCCAGGTAAGTGGAACATTGCATTTAAATCTCACAACCTTAGGGACATGAGTTGCAAATGCCTGTTTTCCAGAATTTACATAAATGATAAAGCAGGTATATTATAATTCCTGACAACACCAGATACTTGGGGCTAGCATTATGGCACAGCAAATTAAGTTGCTGCCTGCAATTCCAGTATCCCATGAGTGCTGTTTTGAGTCCCTACTGCTCCACCTCTGATCCAGCTCCCTACTAATACACCTGGGAAAGCAGCTGAAGATAGTCCAAGTATTTGGGACCCCGCAAGCCCCCTGGGAGACTTGGATGGAGTTCCAGGTTCTTGGCTTTGTGCTGGCTCAGCCCTGACCACCGTGGCCATCTGGGGACTGAACCAGCAGATGACAGATCACTTGCTGTCTTTTTCTTTGTAACTGCCTTTCAAGTACAGGGTTAACGCCCCGGCTTGAAGCGCTGGCATCCCACATAGGCGCGGGTTCTAGTCCTGGCTGCTCCTCTTCCAATCCAGCTCTCTGCTATGGCCTGGGAAAGTAGTACAAGATGGCCAAAGTCCTTGGGCCCCTAAACCCACGTGGTTTCTGGCTTCAGATCGGCGCAGCTCTGGGCACTGCGGCCATCTAGGGAGTGGACCATCAGATGGAAGACCTCTCTCTCTCTGCCTCTCCTCTCTCTGTGTAACTCTGATTTTCAAATAAATAAATCTTTAAAAAAAAAGCAGATACCCAATAATGTTTGATTAATGACAATAATTACCTCTAGCACATTGCCTATATATGTGTACCTAGTACTGATTCTTTGAAAACTATTACTGTAACTTATGGTGCGAGATCTCAGTTTGAAGTGAGACTGGTAAAACAATTTCAAAACCTCAAAATCAGGAAAACCATATTGCTTAGTTGCTTCTCTCCACAAGTCAATAAAGGAAAGGAAGGCCCAGGAAGAAAACATACCTTTATTGAGGTCAAGTTCTTCATCCTCCTCCTCCTTCTTATGCTTCTCTTCTGTGCCATCAGTCTTCTCAGTTGATACCCACTGTATTTCTCCACTGGTCTCCTGCCACTCTCCACTCTTATCATGTTGAGTGGTGGGGGCATCTTTGATCAACTCATCTGTTTTACTCTCTGCCAACTGGGCTGCTCGCTCTCGCTCAAGGAATAGCTGATAAAAATTATTTTTGACAACCATTAAAAGGCATCACCAACCAACGTATATATTCAAACATGATGTTCTGATTGCCGGTAACATCACTAAGAAGGTTGTCTACCAAAAAGGATGAATATAATAAGCAAGAGCATTTGTACTACCTCCTACCAAAAGTCAAAACAAAAGTGTAAATGCTCCTGGTATTCAATTTTATCTAATAATGATGCAAATATTATTGACAAGAATTAAAAGTCTTCATAATTTCCTTTAACTTGGGTAATAATGACAATGAATCCAAGTAAAAAAATTAGAGTTTAAAAAACAGTGAAAAGAAACCTAGGCAAACTGGCTGGCTGGACTATGGACTGCACAGAAGGAACATGAGACATAGAATAAACTGAGCAGGATTACGTTAGGAGGAACACAATATTACTTTAATATCTTTAGATACAAGTTTTTCTTCATGTAATTTTTGTAACAAAAGAAAACCAAAAACAAATCAAAATGTTTAGCAATAGGGGCCAGCACTGTGGCTCAGCTGAGTTAAAGCCATGGCCTGCAGCACTGGCATCTCATTTGGGTGCCATTTCGAGTCCCAGCTGCTCTGCTTCCAATCCAAGTTCCCTGCTAGTGCACCTGGGAGAGCAGTGGAAGATGGCCCAAGCCCTTGCACCCACATGGGAGACCTGAAGGAAGGTTATGGCTCATGGTTTGGGCCTGGCTTCACTTTGGCCTTTGCGGCTATTTGGGGAGTGTACCAGCAGAACGAAGACCTCTCTCTCTCTAACTCTGCCTTTCAAGTAAGTTTTTTTTTTTTTTAAAAAGTGTATCAATAACTTCTGAATAGTAAGTCATCTTTGAAGAGAATGAGATAAACTCAGGTATTAACATAAAAACTCAAAGTATGCAAAAAAGCAGTATACACTAATACACTTTGGTAAACATTATTACATATCAATGTTGTTATATGCACAATACTATTAGACATAGTAACTTTATAGGAAATGACCTTATGCATTTTAAACTTTCTGAAAGTGAATTTTAAAACTATGCGCATGAATTATTTGACTTTTAAAATAAAGAAAATTTAACAAGTAGTTAAGAGAAGGACAGCAACTAGAAAGTTCACATCAGTAATGAAAACAACTGGATGAAGATCAGTATTATCAGTAGTGTAAAGGACCTAAATCTGAACGTGAATTTTCCTTCAGTATCTGAGTATTATAATTAACAGCCAATTCTTGATATTTTAAGGTGACACAATGTTGTAAAATGGCATTACAGAGCCCATTACTCAAAAGGAACTGTAATCTAAAAGCAAAAACTTCAGACTGGTTAAACAATGACAGACCCTAACAAGGGAAGAGAAAGCCATGACACTGCAGAACAAGCAGCTTCTCTAACATGCAATGTAGTCGGGGAACTGGCTGGATATACCACACACACCCAAGTCAGCCAGACACTGCAGGAAACTGAAACGATCTCTGAACCTGTGACGTGCGGATGGCTTCTGCAAATGATTGCTTACTGTATGAATAAAGCAGATCAATCATCTATTTCTTCAAGAACAAATGCTTTGAGACCATTCATGGTTGTGTTTTTATTAAAATTTAAGTTCCACCTGAACAAGAAAATTTTTAAAAGGCAGAGACCAGAATGTTTGAAAATTAAAAAATCCTAGAAGAACTATACAGGGAATATCTACTTAGCAATAAAAAGGAATTAACTACTGACATGCCCAATGACCTGGATACATCACAAAGGGCATATGCTTAGTGGAAAAAATTAACCTTAGAAGATTACAAACTGTGAGTCTACTTATATAACATTCTCAAAAGACAAAACTACAGAGATAGAAAACAGATTTGAGGTAGCTAGGAGACAGGAAGGGTGGCAGGCTAGGTAATGGGTAATATAAAAGAATCCTTCCGGCCGGCGCCGCTGCTCACTAGGATAATCCTTCGCCTGCAGCGCCGGCACCCGGGGTTCTAGTCCCGGTTGGGGCGCCGGATTCTGTCCCGGTTGCTCCTCTTCCAGTCCAGCTCTCTGTTGTGGCCCAGGAAGGCAGTGGAGGATGGCCCAAGTGCCTGGGCCCTGCACCCACACGGGAGAGCAGGAGGAGGCACCTGGCACCTGGCTTCAGATCGGCTCAGAGCGCCGGCCTTAGCGGCCATCTGGGGAATGAACCAATAGAAGGAAGAACTTTCTCTGTCTCTCTAACTCTGCCTGTCCAAAAAATAAATAAATAAAAAAGAATCCTTCCATGGTGATGGTTCTGTAGCTTAATGTAAGAGTGAGCTCATAAATCCATCCACATGATAAAATTGCACAGAAGACATATATTAAACACACACTTAAATGACTGCTGGTTAAAAGTAAAACTAAGGTATGAAATACAGTTAACAGTAATGTACCAGTGTCAATTTCTTGTTTTGATACTATACTAGTTTAAGGTAAGATAACATCATTAGTGAAGCTGAGCACAGTGTACACAGGAGTCCTTGCACTACTTTCACAACTTTCTGTGAGTCTATAATGATTTCAAAAAACAGTTTTGGAAGTAACAAATTAATGAGAAATGCTTTTAGAAGGAAAAGTGTCAATGAGGTCTATTAAGAAAAGCAACAAAAAAATTATACAATATTTTAAAGTCTGTATTGTAAATAACTTGACTATTTTCCACTGGTTTCACATTTAATTCACTGTTTTAGAAACTAAAGCGTGGGGCTGGCACTGTGGCTCAGTGGGTTAAAGCCCTGGCCTGGAGCGCCAGCATCCCATATGGGTGGCAGTTCGAGTCCTGGCTGCTCTTCTTCCTATCCAGCTCTCTGCTGTGGCCTGGGATAGCAGTGGAAGATGGCCCAAGTCCTTGGGCCCCTGCACCCACGTGGGAGACCTAGAAGAAGCTCCTGGCTTCAGATCAGCACAGCTCCGGTAGTTGCGGCCAATTAGGGAGTAAACCAGCAGATGGAAGACCTTTCTGTCTCTACCTCTCTCTGTAACTCTTTCAAATAAATAAAATAAATCTTTATTAAAAAAAGAAAAAAGAAAGAAACTAAAGAGTAAAATTTCAAAGCTATTTGAGTATTCTGAATCCCAGGGGAAAAGTCTAGAAATTACTTCTCATCTGTGTTGAACACTCAGTTACACAGAATAAACAAGAGGACAGGATAATGGAAAAATACAACCTCAAATGACTCAAAGAAGCAGTCTCACTACAGCCTTTCCCATGCTCAACCACTTTTCAGACTGGCTCAGGAGCAACTAACAAACGGTGTCCAGTTCTACTATGGTCCATGGACCTAACAGAGCCCTGGACACAGATCAGACCAGTAAATGTTGGAGAACTTGAACTGGATCAGACAGGGCTGGACTCAAGTTCTAATTTGTTATCAGTGATACTTTGATTCATAAAACACAGTTTGCTTTTTGCTAACAATGCTTAAGGAGTGATTACAACAGTTCAAAAAAGCCAGCAGGACAAAGTTAAGAGTCTCCTTATACTAAGCAAGTGTACCTCCTACTGATCTACAAATAAATTGCACAATTTTAATTGGTTCAGAATTCTAGTTTAAAATAAAGCCTCATTCTATAAAATCATTAATATTTAAGAATTGGTCAGTTCTAAAAAAACATTCTCTTGCTATCCTCACTAACAAAAACATGCTTCAGGAGTTCTAAACAATATAGAAAAAAAGGAGCAATGGATAAAGGACTAGGAAAAATGATCACCTTGTCACTCACCTGAACTAACGCCTGAACAGCATGCACTTGTCCAGCTATCCTCAAACTGTCGCCTCCTTCTCCACTGCAGAAGGAGGAATCAAAAGAACAGGCTGTTTCCATGTTGACCAGGCAGTGCCGATTCCGGGCACTGTACTCCACTAGATTGATCAGCAGACCTAGGCCCTAAAAAAATTTTAGAAGATGAATATGATCACAGATAAGAACTTAAAACAAATAAATACAACATGCATAACTTTAATTGGCAGCTAAAACCTAATCAGTACATTTCTACCTGCAATATGACTAAAAATCATTATGTAAGATACCAGTCTTCTCAAAGAATGATGCCCTTAGTTTTTTCAATCAGCACTTTCACTTGTCATACGGTTTTATAGTTACAAGTACGCTCATAAGGAAATCATCAAAATAAACCACAATATATTCATCAATTTGTTCTTAAAAATCTGACATTCTCATCATCTAATTATATTAAAATGCCCATTTCTGCAGAAGTCGTTTTAACTCACCAACACTCGAATATCAAATCTCTGCTCCTGAGGTAGGTACTTTGGGACCTGAAGCACACAGTTCATTGCTGTGCCTATGAGGCCATCCTGTTCTCCTGTTTTGGTGCTGCCCCACTCTGAAGTAACAAATGGAAATAGGAAAATTATCACTGGTTCTTCTTAATGACACTAACAATCAGCATCAATTAAATTAAATTATTCAACTTAGAATTATATGGCTATATAAATTAAAATACACTTTTGATATTGCTATGCAAAGCTACTAGGCTGGTTCTAAAATTATCAACCTCGGGGCCGGCGCCGCAGCTCACTAGGCTAATCCTCCGCCGAGCGGCGCCGGCACACCGGGTTCTAGTCCCAGTCGGGGCGCCGGATTCTGTCCCGGTTGCCCCTCTTCCAGGCCAGCCCTCTGCTGTGGCCAGGGAGTGCAGTGGAGGATGGCCCAGGTGCTTGGGCCCTGCACCCCATGGGAGACCAGGAAAAGCACCTGGCTCCTGCCATCGGATCAGCGCGGTGCGCCGGCCGCGGCGGCCATTGGAGGGTGAACCAACGGCAAAGGAAGACCTTTCTCTCTGTCTCTCTCTCTCACTGTCCACTCTGCCTGTCAAAAATAAAATAAAATAAAATAAAATAAAATAAAATAAAATAAAATAAAATAAAATAAAATAAAAAAAATTATCAACCTCTTCAAAGTAAATTAAGCCTACAGGATTAATTCAATTACTTGATGGCAATTAAAACATCAATGCATCAAGAAAAGGAGAATAATTTGTTTTTACTTGAATATATAAAGGCACTTCAAAATGTTGGTGGGGAAAATGGAATTGAGAGAAATTATTTTACACTAAAATAAGCTTTTCCTTTTCCTTTAATTCCATTCTTCTACTAACTTTTTTTTTTTTTTTTTTTGACAGGCAGAGTTAGACAGTGAGAGAGAGACAGAGACAGAGAGAAAGGTCTTCCTTTTTCCGTTGGTTCACCTCCCAAGTGGCTGCTACGGCCAGCGCGCTGTGCTGATCCGAAGCCAGCAGCCAGGTGCTTCCTCCTGGTCTCCCATGTGGGGGTGCAGGGCCCAAGGACCTGGGCCATCCTCCACTGCACTCCTGGGCCACAGCAGAGAGCTGGACTGGAAGAGGAGCAACCGGGACAGAATCCGGCGCCCCGACCAGGACTAGAACCAGGGTGCTGGCACCGCAGGCAGAGGATTAGCCTATTGAGCCATGGCGCCGGCCTCTACCAACTTTTAAAAACAGATTAATATATTTATTTGAAAGAGTTAGAGAGACAGAGAAGAAGAGACAAATTCTCCAACTACTGGTTCACAGCCAGATCTTGGCCAAGCTGAAACCAGGAGCCAGGAGTTTCATCAAAGTCTCCCAAGTGGGTGGCAGGGCCCAAGTACTTTGGCCATCCTCTGTCGCTTTCTCCAGGCCATTAGCAAGGAGCCAGATGGGGAGTGGAGCAGGTAGCACACAAACCAGCACTTGTATGGGATGCCAGTGTCACAGGCAGGGGCTTTACCGGCTATGCCATAACACCAGTCTCCATCAACATTTTTTTAAACAGAACATTTCACAATTACGACTCTGGAATTTTTTTTCAGTTTTTAAAATTTATGTGAGGGGTTGGCACTGTGGATGGTGGGTACAGCCAATTACTCTGGCACCATCATCCCAACTGGGCACGACAGGATTGAGTCTGGGCTGTACCACATCCAATTCAGCTCCCTGCTAATGGTCCTGGGAAAGCAGACGATGACCCAAATACTTGGTCCTCTGCACTCATGTGGGAGACCAGGAAGAAGCTCCTGGCTTCAGATCGGCTAAGCTCCAGCTGTTGGGGCCATTTTGGGGGGTGAACCAGCAGATGAAAGATCTGTCTCTCCCCCCTCTCTGTAACCCTGTTTTTCCAATAAATAAATTAATATTAAAAAACTTATTTGAAAGAGCGATAGCTAAGACAGTGAGAAAGAGCAAGAATGACAGAGAGGAAAAGAGAGAACTTCCACCGATTCACTTCCCTAATGCCTACAACACAAGAGCCAGGGGAGTCAGGCCAAAGCTGAGTCAGGAATTCCATCCAGATCTCCCACATAGGTGACAGGCACCTAACAACTTGAGCTATCACCTGCTGCCTCCAAGGGCACACCAGGAAGTGGACCAGCAACTCAAACCCAACACTCTGGCATCCCAAGCAACAGCTTAACTGCTGCACCAGGAGAGCACAACCACCCCTCCACCAACTTTTTAAAGTATTTTCATACTCTCTTTTTAAGAAAGTTGTTGTTGTTGTTGACAGGCAGAGTTGACAGTGAGAGAGAGAGAGACAGAGAGAAAGCTCTTCCTTTTGCCGTTGGTTCACCCTCCATTGGCCGCTGCGGCCAGTGTGCTGCGGCCGGCGTACCACGCTGATCCGATGGCAGGAGCCAGGTACTTCTCCTGGTCTCTCATGGGGTGCAGGGCCCAAGCACTTGGGCCATCCTCCACTGCACTCCCTGGCCACAGCAGAGAGCTGGCCTGGAAGAGGGGCAACCGGGACAGAATCCAGTGCCCCGACCGGGACTAGAACCCAATGTGCCGGCGCCGCAAGGCAGAGGATTACCCTAGTGAGCCACGGCGCCAGCGTCTTTTTTATTTACTTGAAAAACAGAATTACAGAGGGAGAGACAGAGAGACAGAGACAGAGACAGAGACAGAGAAATCTTCTATCTGCTGATTGACTACCCAAATGGTCTCAATGGCAAGGGCTGGGCCAGGCTGAAGCCAGGAGTCAGGAGTTTCTTCTAAGTCTCCCACGTGGTGCAGGGGCCCAAGGACTTGGGCCATCTTCTGCTGCTTTCCCAGACCATTAATAGGGAGCTGGATTGGAACTGGTGCACAGATTGCAGGTGGCAGCTTTATCCGCTATGCCCTAACACTAGACCCTCTTATACTCTTTCAAAGACAAAACATGAAAAAAGTATCACTCACCATTATCATTAGTCAGATTGAGCAACACCCCGATGATGGCCCTCATGCAGTCCTCCACTGCTTTGCCCACATGGTTCGTCACATTCTGGTGAGGCAGAGGCTTACTGTCAGCTATGCATATGCTGTTTTCAGCGCGGTTATACTGCTGAATCAGTTCTTCACAATGCTGTAATGCTCTTAAGAAACAACAAAATGTACACTAGTACAGTATGAATTACAAACTATATCAACAGACATCTATTAACTTGGATTAAACGCTACCCAATTATTTTCTCTTCTAGAAGTTACAATGTGCTAACTACTCAATCATCTACAAAGTATGTCTGATGCATCTGTAGGTTTTAAATTTCATTTTATTTTGCAAAAAATTATTTAAAAGACTTAAGAAAAGTTAAAATTAAAAACTCACAGCATAAGTTAACATCTACCATATCTGCCACTATAAACTTTCCCATGAGTTGTCCCTCATTTTACCCATCTCTCCAACACAAGAGACACAACCCTTCCCTAAAGTGAATAAACCTTTAACAGCTAACATGATACACTTTTAAGTCTCATTCAGATATTTTTTATTTAGAAAAGCAAGCTCCTAGCAGGTAGAGAATGTTACATATCTTAGTATTACATAATAAAAAATGGGTATTAAATATGCATTAGAGAGGTCAGCGCCATGGTGCAACAGGTTAATGCCCTGGCTTGAAATGCCGGCATCCCATATGGGTGCCAGTTCAGGTCCCGGCTGCTCCAGTTCTGATCTGCTATGGCCTGGGAAAGCAGTAGAAGATGGCCCAAGTCCTTGGGCCCCTGTACCCACGTGGGAGACCCAGAAGAAGCTCCTGGCTTCCGATCTGCGCAGCTCCAGCCATTGCAGCCAATTGGGGACTGAACCAGCAGATGGAAGATCTCTCTCTCTCTCTCTCTGTGTAACTCTTTCAAATAAATCAATCATTCCTTTAAAAATTTGCATTAGAATAAATCATTTTTAACGTGCATATATCCTGGGAGCCATTTAAGAGTATGAGCTGCATCCAAGGATTCTTATGATTCTAACCCAAAATAACAAAACATAAACCCTAAACAGGTTTAATATTTCTGAAGACTATTTCATTGAGTCCATTCACTTCTTTAAGTGCCACAAAGATCAATTAAGTTGATTCTGTCAGTTGATTCTTCATGTAGGAAACACCATACAAAACCCTTAAAGAAAGCTGTTCCCTACCTTATCTATTTCTAACTACTCTCTAAAACATACTGAGAAATTCTACAATTCCTTGTGAAGGGAGTGAGGTTAATATTTATCATGTAATGTCTCACTCAATATGCTCTCTGTGCCTCTTTTTTTATTATTAAAATTTATTTCTTTTAATTGAAAGAGTTACGCAGAGAGGAGAGGCAGAGAGAGAGAGAGAGAGAGGTCTTCCATCCGATGGTTCACCCCCCAGTTGGCCTCAACGGCTGGAGCTGCGCCAATCTGAAGCCAGGAGCTAGGAGCTTCTTCTAGGTCTCCCACGCGAGTGCAGGGGCCCAAGGACTTGGGCCTCTTCTATTGCTTTCTCAGGCCATAGCAGAGAGCTTGATCAGAAGTGGAGCAGTCAGGTCTTGAACCGGCACCTATATGGGATGCCGGCACTGAAAGCGGCGGCTTTACCCACTACACTACAGCGTCGACTCCATCTCTGTGCCTCTATCATGGTTCTGAAAAGCTCAAAATGCCAGAGGAGTGCTCTTTCACAAGCAGGAAATTCTAGCCTCTAAAGTCACTTCTCAGAAATCTGACCTGAACTTCCTAATTTAATGGAAGAGCTGAGACCTGTCATATTAATTATCCCCATTTACAAGACAACTGTCAGGGATTATAAAATGCCTATACAGAGATATTATAAAATCAGAAATATAATTTTTATTTGTAATTTAAAAGGAAGAAAAATTAACAGAAAAATCATAAACAGATTTAACTTACAAGAACACCCTTTGGAAAGTAAGAAAACTGTAACAAATGTTACAAAAAGTAAGAAACTGTAACAAATGAGAAAGGATATATTATGGGTACTATAACATGAAATAAAAACTTACAAATGCAACACAAAAAAGGTGAAGGGCAAACTACAAATTAAAAAAACTATTGAAAAATATTAAAAAACCAAAAAACATCTATTGTCAGCTACTGAGACTACTGGAAATCTGTGTGTGGACTAGACAAATTACATGAAGTAGTTAAGAGTTTATATGGTTTGAAAATAGTATTGTGTGTTTTTAAAAAGAATTCTTTTTTTAGAGATCATAAACTCAAGTATTTATTGATGAAATATGACACTTGGATTTGTTTCAAAATTATATAGGAGGGAAAGAGATGTCATATATGGAAACAAACTGGCCACAATTGGTAATTATTTAAGCTAAGCAATGTGTTCATTAAGGTTCATCACCCTATTTTGTCTACTTTCATCTGTCTGACATTCTTCAAAAGAAGTTTTAAAAAAATGACACAAACTAGACTCAAACTGCAATGGGCAGTGAGTCTCATTTCCTTGGATAAGGAAATTGGACATATATCTAGAGGAAGTTAGAAATCAGAGATTTGGAGTTTAGGATCCTTTTTTTCAAAGAAGAGATCTGGAGAAAGTTAACTCCCCGTGGTACTGTGCAGGAGAGGCTACAGACCAGAGAACTAGGACAAGGTATTAAGAACTAGGACAGAGACATCAGGAGAAAGCTGCTGTAACAAGATAGAACCAGGCCTGGAGACACACACGCACGATGGTGATAGCACTGGCCTAATTGTGATGAAGGTTAGGTGTGATGAAGCATACAGAATGGAAGAAGCTACATATATAGATTTGGGAAAGCAGGTATAAATATAAATAAGGGGCAGAAGAGGGCTTGAAAACCTCATTTACAATACATACAAGGACAAATACTTAGTATCTACTATATTCCAAGTACTGTTATAGGCTTCACATATTAACAAATTTAATTCATTAGTATATACTACACATATGTTTTAAAATAACCCAAACTATTGTTGATAGTTATATTGTTGATATTCAATACATACATACTTTAAAATATTTACTATATTATATGTATTAACATATATATGAAACTCATTTTATTCTAACAACCCTAGATAGGCAGATATATTCTGATCCCCTTTAAAGAACCTGAGCAAGAGGTGAGTCTTTGGTCCAGTGGTCCTATATCAGAGTGCCTGTTTCTGCTCTTCACTCCAGCTTTCTGCAAACACAAACCTTGGGAAGCAGCAGCAACAGCTCAGTAACTGGGCTCCTGCCACTCACATGGGAGACTTGGACTGGGTTTATAGCTTTTGATTTTGGCCTAGCCCAGTCTTGGCATTTGCCAGCATTTGAGATATGTACCAGAGGATGCCAGTATGCTCTCTGCATCTCAAATTAATAAACAAAAATGTCACATATCCCATGACAATACCATATCATCAAAAACCAAGACGGGGTTCTATAGTTAAGTGACTTATCCAAGGTTATAAAGCTGAAACTCACATCAGTCATTTTAGCTCTAGAATCTGTACTCTTTTTGATCTGTAATATACTCTGATTCCTAGAACTCAACAGAGCATCTTATGGAGAAGGTAATACAATCTAATTTCCTCTATGCTCAGTCCAAGTGTTTGGAACAAATGTGAGATTTTAGAAAAACTTACTTAGCTGATGAAATAATGAGCTGGGAATCTTTATATGCTATCAAGTAGCTCTGATTCTCTGGATTATGCACTGTTACCTAAAAGGGAAGAATACAGAATGATTGTGGCAATCCATAACTTTCACAATGGCAAGAAACAGTCCTTGACATCTAACATACTAACTTCACGACCCACACGTCCCAGGCTTAAAATAAAAGAGCTCCTGGTTTATTACAAAATTAAGGAGTCACTGTTATAAATGCTTATTTGGAATTATATATCCTTTACTATATATTTACCGTACTGAGTTATCAAGCACTTTGGTATCAGTGAAGTCCCCAACTTTTAAACAAATTAATACTTTAAAAAGTGGGTTCAATTAGAAAAATTTCTTACTAAGAAATAGTATCTGTTATCTGATATACCTGAAACACTCCAGGAAGAGAAGAATAATTTCAATTTCATCTATGCTAGCAGCTTATAATTAACACCAAATGATTTTCTCCACATATGTTTAAAAAGTATGTAGCTAATCCAACATGGTCAACAATTAAGCATCTTGAAACTCATTAGCAATATAAATTCTAATCCAAATTGAATTAGGTTGAATCATCAGCCAAATAACAAAACAAACCTATTCCACAGTTCAACAGTATCCTTCTCCCAAAGTCAAATACTGTTAAACTGTGGCTACAAATAATGACTCGAATGCTAAATCAAGAAGACACTCATTCATTGAAAATTAAAATAAAAATCTGACTACATTTAACCATTGCTTTCTGTAAAAAGTTGATGTATTTAAGTAGAATTCCACATTAAGAACAATTAAAAAGTTGGGCACATATTTATAAACCTGACATGAAAGATTTCATGTGCAGTAATAATAGATGTAGTCTCAAAAAATGAACTTCACTTAGAACTTGTTCATTAACAACTGATTGCTCAAAGAACAAAAGCAATCTCAGTTTGTATTAACAAAGGAGACAGGAACACATCAAACATTTGGCAGTGTCTTCCCCCTACCACAGCACAACACATTAAAATTAAAATAATTTCCCTCAAATAGCTGTCCATACTTACACTTTCTAGAACTCGTAAACATCTCTCTGCTCCCCACAACGAGGCTACTAGTTTCTCTTCATCCCCATCGCTACTTAAGTGATCCACACATTCTTTTACTAAGTGAAAAGAAATGGACATAAGTTAGTATTTCCTATCACTTCAATACTCACTCCCTTAGCTAACATTAATAAGTAATCTGCACACATGCTATAAATATGCTAGGGCCACTCTTTATTCTAGGTTTAATGCTGTGAGATTGTGAAATGTATGATATTCTATAATTATTTTATTTCCATAACCCTCCCAATACCAAAGTGTTAGTAGTAGCCACTTCTTTAAAAGTTAGAGATTTACAGTATGCCTCTGAAAGAACAGACCTTTCCCAAACAATACATTTTTAAAGTGTATAAATAATATGCAAAAAGCATTTACATGTGTGTGCATCATACCTTTATCAACAATATGATCCAGACCACCCAGAAGCCGGAGTTCTTCTTTAAACCAGTCTCCTGCTCGTTTGGAAGTAAGGGACAGTAATGTCTCCATAGCTAAATGCCCAGTCTGAAAATGAGAAGCACCACTAATCAATCTTAGCAATATTTCTGAAGCATTAATTTTAGGTTTTTAAAATGGAAGTTAGGTAAAATTGAGCTAATTTTTATCAAAATAATCTATGTTGAAAGAATGTTTTTATCTACAAGGCTATTTTCAGAGAGAAAATTTGTCATTAAAAGCAGTATAGGGGGCTAGAGCTGTGGCACAGCAGGTAAAGCTGCTGCTTGCAATGCCAGCATCCCAAATGGGAGCCGGTTCAAGTCCTGGCTGCTCCACTTCCAATCCAGCTTCTCTCTATAGCTTGGGAAAGCAGCAGCAGATGGCCCAAGTCCTTGGGTCCTTGTGCCCTCATGGGAGACCCAGAATAAGCTCCTGGCTCCTGATCAGTGCAGCGTTGGCTGTTGCGGACTCTGGGGAGTGAACCAGCAGGTGGAAGACCTCTCTCTCTTTTTCTCTCTCTCTCTCTCTCTCTGTAACTTTGCCTTTCAAATAAATAAATAAATCTAAAATTTAAAAAAAAACTATCATTTGACAGTTCAGTGCAATATATACTGATACTGTTATTTCTATAGTGTAGAGACTCAAGTGTGGGAGTATTGAATCAAAGGCTACAAGTATTTCATTGTAAATCAATATATTGTTTAATATAACACAAAGGATGTAACAAGTAACACTCTCAGGAACAAAGTATACAAGTACCAGTTGCCCTGAATCATCAAACTTACAACATACCATTTTATAGTTTACCTAGCAGTAACTTACTGCTTTGATGTCTACACATATTCTTCTAACTAAAGTAAATGTCAGCATTGCTTCCTTTCTGATTATTTCTTCTATTAGGAGTCCCCTGTTCATTACTCTGATCTTCCTGCACAGCTGCTTGTTTTTTCTTATTGCTTTATGCATTTCATTATCTATTCTTTGCTGATTTTAGTGCTACAGACTGCACTGTCTTAAATTTTATATTATATGGTTAGCAACTTGGATCCTCATCACTATGACCATCATGACAAAATGCTTTAGGACCACCACTAGAGGGAGCACAAAAGGTAAGAGCCATTATTTATAAGCAGGTTCAAGTTTTGCTTTGACTTCAACTTTCTTTTGTAAAAACACAAAGCCATTGCCTAAAAAAGAGCAATCTGGTTCCAGATGTAATAAAGTTAATTTCAGTATAACAAAAGGAATGCTTTAATTAGCAAAGACTGATAACACACCTGGTTTCCTTCCCAAAACTTCTGCCCTTCAAAAGATGCAAATTTCATCCTGACCTATATTATATTTGGAATTAATTATAAACTAGAATATTTAGAAATTCAAATAACACATACTACCAATAAAAACATCAGTACTACAGATTTAGGAGATCGCTAAAAAAAAGTTGTCTAAGGTAACAAACACAGATCTGGAACCAAACATTACAAAACTACAGAGTAATTGAATCAGACTGCTCCAAGTCTATCAACTCCAGGCTCACAGAATTGAAACTGAAGATCAATGAGGCATTCTTTGTTTAGGAAAACAGGGGGAGAGTAATTTGATGCTTCAATGAGAGTAACACAAATTCTTAAGTTTTACGTTTGGTTCTATTGATATGAAAATATATTAAAGCTAGTATTTAAAAAGCCTATTATTCAAACATTTTATTTGAAAACAAATAATCTTCAGAGTTTTAAAGCTCAGCCAAATCACTGATCAGAACACCACTCTGCAACTGCTAGCTCTCAGTCACTTGTGTTTAACTGAAAAAAACTATACTATTACCACTTTCAATTATCTCTTTATGGCAAATAAACAGTACCAATTTATTTCAAAGGAAGAAGCAATTAATCTAACATTCAAAACTAACGTGTAGGGGATGTTCACTGTACACAACTAAGTACTGAATTTATTGTACAACTTAAACCTCATATTCAAAAATTGCTGACATGGAGGGGTAAGGGGAAGAGGTATCCTAAAATTAGCAACTCTGTTCTCATTTTAGTCATGTAAGTAAACTATATTTAACACACTGGAGGACAGTTTTTAGACTGGCATTTACCATCCAACAAGAAATGGAGTAAATCCAATGAAAAAATGTATAATGCTCTTCAATACGAATAACTGAAATCAATCTAAATATTGAGACAAAAAACACAAGTATTCAAAAGAAAAATTATAGGTTCAAATTTATTCTTTCATAGCCTTAAAAGTTAGTATACAATATAAATGCTAAAAGTAAATAAAGATGACAGATAGTTTTAAAGGCAGTACAGAGATAGTGCAGTGATGCAGAGGGATCCCTGATGGTCCTGCTATCTGAACACAGAGGCAGTCTCCTCAATTTTATTAAGGAAAGAGTGTTGACAACTTCAGTTTTGTATTTTACCTCCTATAGATAACTTGTTCTCCTTCTCACCCCTCAGCTTCGCCAGATTCTATCACTAGTTCTATCATAAATGAAAAGACAGTAAAAGCCATCAAACCATATCTGGGTAGCACAAGACATTCTATCAATTTCTGTAGCAAACACTGCAGTTAAGTAGGAAAAAAGAAAAAGGAAAGAGTGAGCTTATGCCCCAAAACCAGGTAATTACAAATAATCTTATTTTTTCAAAACCACAGGCCAGTTATCTATTACTAGCCTAGTAACCACAGGAATGTTATTTATTCTACAAGTGAAAAAGCCAGAAGAAAGCAGAATGGGAATCAAGTAAAAACAGCACAGCCATCTTAAACATGGAGAGCTATGCTGTCGTAAGGCTACCTACCAGTCATGACCCCATTCTGAAAAGCACTGCTCTATAAAGGGCAGGAGCCAGAAATATTCCTTCTGCATCACTGGAACAGTTTCAGTCCTCTAAAGCTGCTGGTCAGACACCAGAGATATTCCAGAATAAGCAAAATGCTCACTCACTGAAAAGAGCCCCAAGATGGGGTGGGGCACTGTAGTGCAGGTGGTCTAGCTACCACTTGGGATGCTTGCCTGGTGTGAGTCCTGCCTACTCTGCAATTTCAATTCAGCTTCTTGCTAGTGCACCTGGAAGGCAACACTTTACGGGACAAATGGTTGGATCTTGCCACCTGCATTAGATGAAGTTTCTGGCTCCTTTCCTGGCTAGCCCTGACTACTGCAGGCATGTGGGGGGTGAACCAGTAGATGGAAGATGTCTCTCCCTGTGTTTCTCTCTTTTTATTGCTGAAACCCAGAGTAAGAATGCAAATTCCCAATAGCCTAAATGCATTTTCTACATTAAAACAAAGACGAGAGAAAAGGATTAGGCAAAATGCGACAGAAAATTTGTATCACTTTAGTTATAACCCTTAAAAAAAAAAAAAAAAAAAAAATAGGCCGGCACCGTGGCTCAATAGGCTAATCCTCCGCCTGCGGTGCCAACACCCTGGTTCTAATCCCGGTTGCCCCTCTTCCAGGCCAGCTCTCTGCTGTGGCCCGGAAGTGCAGTGGAGGATGGCCCAAGTCCACGGGAGACCAGGAGAAGCACCTGGCTCCTGGCTCCTGGCTTTGGATCGGCGCGGTGCGCCGGCTGCCACTGGAGAGTGAACCAACAGAAAAAGGAAGACCTTTCTCTCTCTCTCTCTCTCTCTCTCTCTCTGTCCACTCTGCCTGTCAAAAACACACACACACAGAAGCCCATGTAGGTTTTTTAGACAAGAATTGGAATTATGCTCAGAGTTAAAAACTTTAAAAGAATTTGCCGAATGCTAAGCCAAGGCTAAGAGAGGTTAAATGATTTGTCCAAAAAGCACATTTTATAACAGAAGGATGAAGGCAGGCACTCACCGTTATATTTTCTAGATCAAGATGCTTGTTGTGTACAGTTTCACAGAGTCTTCGGATTTTTTCTTTAATTTTGTTCATGTCTTTTTCATTCAATAACTTAGCTGATGAAGCATCTTGTTCCAGTTCCAAAAGTCGGATCATGAGATCCAGGCTAGCTCTATCAAGATCCATGTTCAGACGATCCCTACTCAGTATGTACATGAGGGCAGCTGTACAGAGGGATAGATTCTTCAACAGACCCCGCCCCCAAAAAAAGTTCAGGTAAGCAATTACCACAATCTCAGAAAATAAGATCATTATTGACATTTGTTGACAAGCTAAGATGCCTAACATTCTGCTGACCATACTGGAAATCTTAATATTTTATTCATTAATCTCCCTAAAATATTCTAGAGAAATATGTCTATTAAATAAAGCATTGTTGCTTACAATTTCCATTTCAAAAATATTTCCTATGAGTGCCCTGCAGCTGGAAGAACTAAGCTGAATTATACATGTCTTTGCTAGCAATTTTATAGAACATCTTTTTCTTTAAAAAAAAAAATACTATAACTAAACCTTTATGATATAGCAAATACAGTCAAATTTCAGTTTAAAAATCATAACATAAATGTATTTTAAAATAGACACAGCTGAGTCTGCAACAGTACATAAAACCTAGGATGCTGAAAGAAACATATCTAATCTTGTTAAAAATAAACCAATCCCCTCACCAAGTAGTTTTTAAAAACCCATTAATAAAATATGCTCTCAAAATTGCTCAGATCAGGTAATTACCAGTTCAAAACAGATACTACAACCTCAAGTCCTGAAGGTGGTATCTTTTAGATAAATGTTAATGATCAGCCCTCTGAATCCACACTTCCACATCAGTGGATTCAACCAAGCATGGGTCAAAAAATATGAGAAAAAAAATTACATCTGTGCATAACATGTACAGACTTGTTCCCTTGTCATTAATCCTTAAATAAAACAGGATTCACATAGCATTTACATTGCAGTAGGTAGTATAAGTAGTGATGATTTAAAATATATCAGGTTTTACACAGGTTCTTTGCAAATATAACATTTCACAAAAGGGACAATTATATAGCAAAAAGGCCTTATGTTTGGGATTTACAACATTTGAGATACTCTGTATCTGCCATTCTACTTGTTTACATGCACAGAATGTACAGAAATACAACTAACCATCTGAAGACTTAAACTTTAAACCCCTGAAAGTAGAGAACTTCAGAATAGGGTGACTCATTAATTAAATGTTTACACAGCAAATTATTTTTTAAAAGAAACCACAGTAAAGGCCATAAGGGGTACCCTGCCCCCAAGAACAGATAGTGTCAAATCTTAGTCTAACTACCTAACAAAAGAAACTAATTTTTAGTTCTCATCTTTCCTTCCTGCTGTATCTGCTCACTCAGGGTCAAGTGCACTACTTTTGGTTTCAGAAGACTCATTAATTCTGTGTCGGAGTCTGTATTTGGAACATCATTTCCTTGAGCAAAAATATAATAAGGCCAGCTCAAAATACCACTTGTGGGGGGCCAGCGCCGTGGCATAGTAGGCTAAGCCTCCACCTGCAACGCCAGCACCCTATATGAGCACTAGCTCATGTCTTGGCTGCTCCACTTCCAATCCAGTTCCCTGCTGGTGGCCTGGGAAAGCAGCAAAAGATGACCCAAGTCTTTGGGTCCCTGCACCCTCATGGGAGACCTGGAAGAAGTTCCTGGCTTCCAATCGGCTCAGCTCTGGCAGTTGTGGCCATTTGCGGAGTGAACCAACGGATGGAAGACCCCTCTCTGTCTCTGCGTCTCTCACTATGCAACTCTACCTCTCAAATAAATAAATAAAATCTAACAAAACAAAACAACTGTTGGTAATGACTAGCAATGAAGATTACTTTCTTCTAATTTTTGACAATGTTAAGCCTCACTTTCATTATAAATATTTTATTAAGAGAAAACAAAGGAAATGAAGAGGAATTTTTTCCTTATTATAATCAAGCTTTTACAGATTCAACGTCAAACAAAATGGTTACAAAACTTAGGGTGATAGAAAGGGGAAAGGAGGAAGAGAAGTGTCATTATATTCTTAGAATTATATCTATGAACTACATGGAATCTGTTCTCTTTGTGTTAAAATACATTAGCATGAGAATTGATGAAAAATAAATTTAAAAAAATTTAAATTAGGGCTATATTTCAAAACCATTTTTCTTGCTATTAATATCCAACAGTATTAAAGAAGTCTTCTCAGTATTTTCTAATTAAAGGAAATCATGCTTACAGAATTAAACATTCCAGATAGTATGTTAGCTACAGTTATTTGAATAAATTTTAATAGTGTAAGTTGACAAGTTATGAAAAATGTTGTTTTGAGAAAACAAGTGACTTATTAAGCAAAAAAAAAAAGGAATTAAGCTCTATATAATTAGAAATAAAACAAGCTTCACCTACAATTAGGATATAATTTATATGAACATGTGATGAAGTTATTTACTGATAGCCAAATAATTTAGAACTTTTCAATAATGCTTTTCCATCCCAGGAACTTAAAAATACCTGATGGTGCTGAGAATCATCCAAGGTTTTAAAGACCATTGCTACCATTCCATGTGCTCTCAGGTGCATTCGAAAACTGGGCATGGCACATTTAGTAGCCAAGCTAATAACACTAGAAAACAGACAGACTATGTTAGGACAACTGAAAACAGCTAGGACACTACACTGTAGTTTACATAATAACAAAACAAGCAAATAAGGAGGAAGTAAAGGGATCGAATGGTTGCCCATACAGATCATAATAAACCACAGGCAAACCAAATTATGAAAAATACATTAATGTCTACTATGTGACTGTGTACACTACATATAGAAAAATAATGATTAGTCTTTAATGCATTCCTTATGTCTATTACCATTAAAATCCTGGGTGCTCATATGAAGACTATAAAAATTCTATTTTATTGGATATACTACAACTAACTAATTCATCCAAATCAGAATATTCAATCCATTAGAGTACACAAAAGAAGATCCACACCACAACATGCTTAATTTATTCTAATTTATCCTTTGATGAGTGAAATTTTGAGAGAAAAAAACACTTTAGCGTACTGACTCTTCCTTTAAGCATCTGGAAACTGAAGCCTCAAATCTGCTAAAAAGGCTATGATCACCCAAAGCTTTCCCTCCATCACGCAGAATCAAGTGCTTTTGAAGAAACTGACTACATTTTAACATCACTGGCTACATACTACATACATGATAACAAAAAAGTCTGGCTTTTTAAAATAATATTCTACCCATTTGGAAAAATTTAGTGAGATAAAGCATGAGCATAATTAAAAATTATAAAAATAAGATCTTACCTAAGGCAACGTGTGTTTAGAGGCTGAGTGCTCTTTAAGCCACTTAACAAGTACTCAATGTCATCAGTGAATTCCTGATTTTCACCAAATTCCACCACATCATTGAAGTGCTTCACGTGCTGAACAACAGTATATAGCTGCCAAGAAAAAAAATAAGCCCAGCTCTTTTTAAACTATGAACTAGCATTATATAAATCCATGGTTCACTGTACTTCATAATAAAGAATATAAACTAGTTAGACAGATGGCAACAAAAAAACATTCTTAAAACACTGGTAGTGGTAGGAGACAAGGCAAGTTTGTGGTTCAAAACTGTGAATATCAGTGCACTGATATTTAAGACACTTAAAGGCTAAATATTAACATACAAAAATCTATCCACGTGCAGTAAAACTATACATAGCTGCTTACTTCTTTGTCTTCTTTTCTGCATTTCAGTGCAGTAACTATATCTTGGTAGGGCTGAGTAGGTATTGTCACAGTTTTTATCACTTTGAGTGGTGGTGCAGGAGCCTTAAAAACTCCATCATCTTTTTGATTTGGTTCCTTTGAAGACAGCCTCACCTATTAATAAAGGTATTAAATTAGTTGCTCTAGATAAATATATATAAATAACATCTTGTCTATCTGGCAAATTTTGTTTTTTGTTTTTTGTTTTTTGTTTTTAAAGTAAGAGCTTTAAAAAAGGGGGAAGAGGGAGGCCCATACAAGATCATAAAAGGTACTTTAAATTCCATGCACTAGTAGGTAAGACTTATATTTTACACACAAAAGAACCACTCAGGAATTCCTTCAGGTCTTTTTAACCTTCTATTTTCACACAGTTTGTTATTTGCCTCAAGGACCACTGAAGGAATAAAGAACCACAACTGCATGCAAAAATAGCACTGATAGGCTACTAGGGAGCAGACAGGAAAAACTATTAACAGATAAACTAAAGAATGTTAAAAGCATAAGAATCTGAGGTAGTTGAAGATAGAAAAAATCAGCTCTAACAATACCATGTACATGTGTCATAAAAATCACTACTATGTATAAGGATGAGCTTATACTATCAAAATAGTTTTAAAAAACTAACAAGAGAACAGGAAACTGGAAAAGTATTTCAGATGTACCTCTATTCCCACTTTTTCCTGTTATAAAGAACTCACTCCTCAGGGCTGGCACTGTGGCATAGCAGGTAAAGCTGCTGCCTGTGGTGCCGGCATCCCATATGGGCACCTGTTCAAGTCTTGGCTGCTCCACTTCCAAGCCAACTCTCTGCTATGGCCTGGGAAAGCAGTGGAAGATGGTCCAAGTGTTTGGGCCCCTGCACCCACGTGGGAGACCTAGAGGAAGCTTCTGGCTCCTGGCTTTGGATCAGCGCAGCTCCAGCCCATTGTGGCCATCTAGAGAGTGAATCAATGGATGGAAGACACCACTCTCTCTCTCTCTCTCATTCTCACTCTGCCTCTCTAACTCTGCCTTTCAAGCAAATAAATAAATCTTAAAAAAAAAAAAAAAAAAAAAATTACTCCTATGGCAGCTTCCAATGACAGCTTTAAGCCACAAGTTTTATGTATGATGCTACCCCTTTCCTTGTGAAGAAAATAATTTTATAGGAATCTCTTCACAAATGTGTTTTGGACTGCAAAATGCTATAGGAGTGGGGTTGTTTGGCACAGGGAATAAGGTGCTGCTTGGAATGCCAACATGCTGTATCAGTACAAGTGGTTTGAATCCCAGTTACTCCACTTCCAATATAGCTGCCTACTAATGTGCACCTTTGGAGACAACAGATGGCTTAAGTACTTGGGAACCTACCACTCCTGTGGGAGATCACACTGAGTTCAAAACTCCTGAGTTCAGCCTGACCCAGGCCCAGCTACTGTGGAAAACTAGGAAGTGGACTAGCAGATTAAGAGCTTTCTCCAACTGTCTCCCTGCCTTTCAAATAAAAATGAAGGAGAGGGTAAGACTCAAGCATTTTTTTTTTTTAAAGTACTACTAGAATGCAGGAAGAGGTTCTCATTAAGCAATGAAAGCCCTGTGAGATCTATATAGGATATAATTTACAATACAACACTTAATGGTTATTACAAACTTCAAATTAGGAATAATTTGTTCTTAAACCCTCAACCTCAAATTCCATGAAATGCAGGCCATGAATAAAAACAATCTTATTGTTTGAGGCTTTCATTTATAATCTAGTAGCACTAGAATTTCTGCTACCCTATCCCTACTCTCACTCCTCTGTAATCTGAAGCTCCTAAATTTCAATAAAGACCAAAATAAACTGTTAAATGGAAAACCCACAGACTTACAAATTATGAAACAAGACAGTAACTGCTTAATGAGTTTCTAACCTATTAAAGAACACAAAATGAGTACGCGTACTTCACTTACTGTGACACTCTGAGGTTTTACTACTGGTGGGCCAGGTAGTTCTTCTGAGTCTGGATGGTTCCAATGTCTGGCATTATATACAGCTTTTGTAGGCGACTAAGAGAAATGAGAAAAGTATCAACTGTTTGCATTTTTTATACCAAAGTGTCTTCGTGTCTTTACAAAAGTGTCTCACTTCAACCATAAGGAGTAACTTAAATCCATAAACATACATCCTAGTCAAAGGTAACAGACACTATATGGGTGCATTCCCGTCATGCTTCCATGGCTATGGCAGATACAGTCACTGCAGGAATTGGCAGTTAGTGCTCTGGGCCACTAGAACAACCAAGGGAAGATGGGTGCTTGAAAGGAAACCCCTGGCCAGCACTATAGTAATCGAGTAGTCACTGAATTCAGTTCAGTATGTTGACAAAACTTGATCCACATTCTACTGATTCAGCCCTAGAATCATCTAACAGTAGGAAGCTGGCAGCTTGGAACCAGTAATATATGTCCATGTTCACTTAATGTGAAAGCTTTAGGGACAGATGTGTGCCATCATTCAGTAAGTCTCCAGACTTTATAAAGGTAAATATGGCACACACAGCAAATATTACAAAACACAGTGGATCCTAAAGAAATACCATGGTATAACATTCATATATTTCACAGCAAAATGTGAAAATTCATACAATAAAATGGGATAAAGATGTAAACTACCTCACATTACTTCAGGTTACTGTGACACAAAATCAATTTACTTAAATTCAAGAATAAAAACCTCTTAATTTTTACCCTTGAACTTCAGAATTTAGAATAACTGTGAACCTATAGAAACAAATCTAGGGACCAGCGCTGTGTCATAGCAGATTAAGCTGCTGCTTGTGTTTGCCGGCACTGGCACACTGTATCAGAGTACGGCTGGAGCACAGCTGCTCCATTTCCCATCCTTCTCCCTGCCAATGCACCTGGGAAGGCAACTGAAGATGGCCCAAGTGCTTAGGCCCTGCCACCCATGTGGGAGACCAGAATGGAGTTCCTGGCTCCTGACTTTGGCCAGGTCCAGATCTGGCTGTTGAGGCCATTTTGAAGGTGAACTGGTAGAATGAAAATTTCTCAAGTGCTTTGCCTTTCAAATAAATACATCTTAAACAACAAGAAAAAAAAAAAAAAAGACTGACAACATGGAAAAAAGAAGCACCTCACCTTGTATGTCTTTTAAACAGTGATTTTCTTTTTTTAAAGATTTATTTATTTGAAAGGCAGAGATACAGAGAGGAGAGAAAGAGATCCTCCATCTGCTGCTTCACTCCCCAAATGGTAGCAATGGCCAGAGCCAAGAGCCAAGAGCCTCCTCCAGGTCTCTCACATCAGTGCAGAGGACCAAACACTTGGGCCATCTTCCACTGCCTTCCCAGGCACAACAGCAAGGAGGTGGATTCAAAGTGGAGCAGCTGGGACCTGAATCAGCACCCACAGGAGATGCCAGCACTGCAGGCAAAGGCTTAACCCTTTTTACGCCATAGCGCCAGCCCCATAAGCAGTGATTTTCTTTCTGTTTACAAGACAGTGGTCTCCATATTTTCAGTACTATATTGAAAAAAATAGTAAGTGGAAAAACAAACTTTAAGGTCAGCCAAAATCCACACTAGAAAATTATTTTGCCTTATAAGCTGAAGTGTAGCAACATAATTGATTCCACACAGTTAACATTGTATTGTCTTTCACAAAGTCCCTCATTTGTATTGTGCATATAAACCCATTACTTTCTTAAGCACCAGGTTTGCACAAAGTGAAGATACGTTAGTAATCTGGCAACTTAAAAACTTATGAGTTGATCTGGCTACCTAAGTCCGCACAGTGTATCAGCACACATTATTCATTTATTCATTATTTTTGAATAAGCAGACAAAGAAACACACTGGTTTACTTCCTAAATGTCTGCAACAGCCAGCGTTAACCCAGTCTGAAGTCAGGAGCTGGGAATTCAACTCAGGGCTCCTGAAAGATTTTTTTGTGGCAGAGACACAAGGACTTAAGCCATCACTGGCGCTTCCCAGGTGCACAATAGCAGAAAAGCTGGAACAGGAATAGAGCCAAGACTCAAATTCAGGAACTCTAACTCGGTATGTACGCATCCCAAGTGGTGCCACCACACAAAACACATGCCAACCTCAATACAAGACTGTAAAACCTAGTTCTTGGGATAGGCCTTTGGCTAGGTGGTTGAGATACAAGTTAGGATGACTGATTCCATACTGGAGTGCCTGGATTTGAAACATGGCTCCATTCCTGACTCAAACATCCTGCTAATGCAGATCCTGGGAGCTAGCATGACAGCAAGAGTAATAGGGTTCCTGCCATACACAAGGAAAACCTGGACTGAGTTCCTAGCTCTTGGCTTTGGCCTAGCCCGGCCCTGGCTATCTGAGGAGTAAGCGAGCAGATGGGAATCTCTGTCTCTTTCTACACAAAATCAAAATTCAATAAAATTCTAGTTCTCTACCGGAACTATAATCAGTGTGCCTGCTGGTTAGCTGAGGCTAACAATAAACTATTGATAAGAACAGGTGATTCAAAGCTTAAGCATTGTTACTTTAAAAAAAAAAAAAAGCCTGATGCAGGGCCTCTGTTGTGTGGTACAGTAGGTCAAGCCACTGCTTGCAATGCAGTTGGCTGCTTGACTTCCAATCCAGCCCCCTTCAATCTGCCTGAGAAAGCAGTGGAAAATGGACCAAGTGTCTGGGCCTATCAACCACATGGAAGACACAGATAGAGCTTCAAGGCTCCTGGCTTCGGCCTGGCCCAGCTCTGCACCCACCATCCCGCCCGCCAATAAACTGCCTTTCAAATAGATACATTTTTTAAAGGCACAGTTTACAGAGGAGGGGGAGGGGGACATAGAGAGGAATTTTCCATCCAATGATTCACTCCCTCAATGTACAGGACTGGGATGGTCCGATGCCAGGACCCAGGAGCTTCTTCTGGTCTCCTACGTGGGTGCAGAGACCCTAGGACTTGGGTCATCTGCTGCTGATTTCCCAAGCAAATTAGCAGGAAGCTGGATCCGAAGTGGAGCAGCCAGGACTCAAACTGGCACCAGTTGTGGGATGCTGGCAATGCAGACAGTAGCTTTACCCACAACAATTCTGGTCCCAAATAAATAAATCTTTAAAAAAGAAAAAAAATAGATCCAGGTAATAATCTTTTGGTTAAAAGGTTATCTAGTTCCATGAATAATAAAATATCAAAGAAACTGAGGGTTCTAAATTAAAATACTTAAGAGAATGCCAAAAACAATGTGCTATGTTGATATTACTGATAATTGTGTGATGATACGCCATTCAGTTTTAGTCTATCACCTTCCTAAGAAAATTGGATTGGTTGGGTGTGGCAGTGTGGCATAGTGGGTAATGCTGCGGCCTACCATGAACGCATCCCATTTGGGTACTGGTTGGTGTCCTGGCTGCTCCAACTTCCAATCCATTTCCTGGCTAATGGTCTGGGAAAAGCAACAAAGAATGGCCAAAGCACTTGGGCCCCTGCTACCTATGTAGGAGACCTGGAAGAAGCTCCTGGCTTCTAGCTTCAGCCTGGCCCAGTCCTGGCTGTTGCGGCCACCTGGGGAGTGAACCAGTGAACGAAAGACCAATTTTCGCACCCTCCCTCCGACTTTATAGCTCTGAGTTTCAAACAAACAAATAAATCTTTAAAAAAGAAAGAAAAAGGAAAATTGGACTGGTCTACCCATCTAACATCTAACATTTGTGATAAATAAATAGGACAGCTAACGTGAAAAAACAAATAGCAAGTATTACTATTATAAGCAAACAGACTTGGGACATACCATTCTCATCTTAAAAACCCTCAAAGCATAATGGTAGCCAACTGGGGAGTGCACCAACAGATGAAAGACATCTCTCTCTCTCTCCCCTCTCTGTGTCTAACTCTGATTTTCATATAAATCTTAAAGAAAAAAAAAAAGCAATTGTGCTCTTACCAGTAATACAATTAGCATGAAGAGCAAATAAGGTACAACTGTGTGTCTATGTATGGTACTTTAGTGGCAATTCCATTAGAGGGACAGAAAGGACTGCTTTTGTGGCATGGCGAGTTGAGGTGCCACCTGCAACACCAGCATCCCATATGGGTGACGGTTCAAGTCCTAGCTGTTCCACCTCTAATCCAGCTCCCTGCAAATGTGCCTGGGAAGGCAGCAGAAGATGGCTCAAGTCCTTGGACATCTGCACCCATGTGAGACACCAAGATGGCCTGGCTTCAGTCTGGCCTAGCCGTGGGTATTGCAGCCATTTGGTAAACCAGCAGATAGAAGCTCTCTAATTCTGCCTTTCAAAGGAATAAAAATAATAATAGAAAGAAAGAAAGAAAAGAAAGAAAAGAAAAGAAAAGAAAAGAAAAGAAAAGAAAAGAAAAGAAAAGAAAAGAAAAGAAAAGAAAAGAAAAGAAAAGAAAAGAAAGAAAGAAAGGGTGAAGAGACAGAAGAAAAAAACATAACAAAATAAACCCAAATCTTGGTTTGTTTTTTTTTTTTTAAAGCCTTATCCCAGGGTTAGGGACCAAAATCAAAACCCAAGCAGAATTAAGAGGCGTTGTGACACAGCGTGTTAAGCAATCACTTGATGTGACTGCGCCCCGTATCACAGAGTGCTGGGATTATGCTCCACCTACCCTTCCATACAGCTTCCTACTACTGTGAACCTGGGTGGCAGCAGGTTATACCTCAAAGAGCTGGGGTCCTGCATCTACAGACACCCAGATACAGTTTCTGGCTCTTGGCTTCAGCCTGACCCAAGTCCTGGCTATGGCAGGCATTCAGGGAGTGAACCAGTGGATGGAAAACTTCTTTCTCTCTATTGCTCTGCCTTTCAAATAAAAACACTTTTTTTAAAAGCCTTAAAGAATTTTTAAGATGGGTGGTAAAAGCAAAGAAAGTTACGAGAAAAACTACACCACAATGCCAATCCCAAGTACTCCTGCTTTTAATCCAGCTTCTGCCAATGTGCACCCCGGGAAGCAGCAGCCAACAGCTCAAGTACTTGGATCCCTGCCACCCACATGCAAGACCTAGATGGGTTCTGGGCCGGCTGCTTTGG